GCGGAGACCCGCGCTCGTATGGTGGCTGAACTTTTGTTTCACTTTTATAAAATGTTCAGCTTTTAATTTAAGCGGTTAGGGAGGAGAAATGGCCAAAACGCGATGGCTGTGGCCTGTTCTAGTTAAGGCTTTTAGAAAGAATAGCTGGCTGGGCTGTCTTGTGATGGCGCTGTTACGTCCCCTCACTAACTTAGTTTCTAAAGTGGGATTTGGCTTCGTAGATGACTGTATGCCGTTAGCAGTTTCCCGCTGTTGGCTGTGACTTTAAGACGACGTTTGTTTTTTAGTCTTGTCATTGCTGTCTGGACTCAGTCGCAATCTCCACAGCTGTTTGTAACAGGGAGCAGTTACAAAACACAAGTACTGCTTTGAAGGATGCTGAAAGCAAAAGCTTAGTGTACCTCAGCTGTCAAGTTTTTGTTTAATAATTTACTATTTGTAATGCGAGGTAGTCATACAAGTAGAGCTTTGGGGGCTAATACGGAATGATACTTTCTCAATAGGTGCAGTAATCGGAACCGGCTTCTATGGCAGGTCTGTAACCTACTCTTAAATGTGTGTGTTCTACAGCTCGACCTCACATTCGTGTCAGGTAGCCTACTGAAGGGATACCGTTACTATTCAAAGCCTATAAGGGATACCGTTGCTATTCAAAGCCTGTAAAAACAAATCCCTGGCCTATGCAGCACTCCTAGAATAGCTCGGTAATAAGAGCGTGGTAAAACATGTGGTAGCAAGTTTATTGTGATGCCCTTCTAGTGTGTTCTGATGAAGTCAGGCGAATGGGGCTGATTTTACTAACTGAGTTTCAGACTGAAGCCTTGAAATGAAGTGCTTATGCACTGTTTTGGAAAATCACCCTTTATTTGAGAGACAGGAGTCCCTTACTCATCTGCTAATTTAGTTTTAATCTGATGAGGTGTTCAAGACAAATTAATAATGTCAATAAAATAAGCCTGTGTTTTCTGTGAGTTTATATCCAGTTACGATACTGTGATACCAGTGCTGTTATGGCATTGCAATATTAACCTTCACTAAAACTGTTTGACTGGGTAGACAAAATTGAACATCGACTCAGTTAATGTTTAGCTCTGAAGTACTTACATGAACAACCCATTTTGCAGTACTTATTCATATGTATGTTTAAAAAAGATGAAGCCCCTAAATGAACTTAGAGGCAGTGTTTTCATGATCAGACCTCTTTCCTAAACTTCTCTGTAAGAAGTTTGTGCATGTGTTAGGTGAGAAAGGTGTTAAATAACAAGAGTGATGTAAATTGAAAACCCACCAAAGACCTGTGTTTCCTGTTCTTGTGAAAACGCAGGACAGTGGCAGGGGGAAGTTCAGCAACAAAGAAACTTTAGACATTGGAGAACATGTGCTTGGTTGACTGACTCTCTTTTTGCCATAAAAGCCTGTGTTTTTCAGGAAGCTGTTAGAGTTGGTGCATTTTATTTCTGGACTGGCTTTTTGCCACATCAGTTTGCTGTAGAGTTGTGCTGTTGTCATGTTTTTCCCATTTTCTGCTTTACATTTTGTCTGATGTCTTTTGGTAAAGAGGATGAGCTCTTCCTTCATACCGGAGTTTGGAAAGGCTGATAACTCTTTTTAGCCATGCAGTTCAGTTGTCCAACAGATATGGAACTTTATGCTGCTCATACCTCTATAAAGACTGAAAGAAAAGCTATCTTTAAATGAGTTCGGTAACTACCGCCTTCCTGGTAGATCCTTTAAATGCAGTAAGCAGACTTCATTAGCTGTGTCAAATTCCTGTAGAGAACTACAATTGTAACTTTTGTGTGGTTGTCACTAGGAAGAAGAGCGTGGTATATCTTCATTTCCACCCCCCCAATCATTTATTAGTCACTTGGTTGTTGCTTCTGTAACTCAAAGGAGAATGTTGTAAATGTGTGAATGGCCTTGCCGGTTTGGGTTAAAACCTTTGTGGCTCAACAACACATCTCCAAGAGCACTCAATATCATCTAGTCCGTAGAAGACTAGAAGGTCAGGACATGTGTGCAGTGAGCTTCCCCAGGAAACTGTCCCAGGTCTCAGCAATCTCTGGTTTAAAAGCCTTCTGAGCTGCGAAGGAACACATCAAATTGCTTTCTGAATCTATCTAACTTCTTGGCACCCTGCGTATCCTTTGACAGGGGGTTCTGCAGCTTATCTGTGTTTTATATGAAGAACTGTTGTCTTAAGTATTTTTTGAACCTGCCATCAGCTGATTTTGTTTAACACTCCAGGTCTTTGTATTGAAATTCTTTAATTTCTCTTACGTAGTTTTTTGAGTCTTAGTTGTTCTTGGTCATCAAGAGTAAGTGACCATGGTTTGTATCCTTTTCAGCTGCACTGATGCAGAACACAGTATTTTGTGTTTTGATTTCCTGCTGTGTGATGATTTGTCAGTCCTGCGAGTTTGCAAAGTGTCTCCTTTGATGCACCGTGAATACATATTTATGTAAGCTATTTATTGTTGGCCCTCTGTTCTTGAAAACGCCCTCCTTTTGCTTAGTATTGGCAAAACATGTCCCCTCCAATGCTTTGTCTGTTGGCTGAACAGAGAGTACCCAGTGATTCAGCATTAGATGTTGAAAGTGTTTAACCAAAAGCATTGCTTTGGGGAAAATCCAGTCAGTGTCGGAGTGATAATAAAGCACGTCAGGAAGCACAGCAGCTGGAGAATAATCTTTATAACACATGGAAACTATGGTCTTGGCTAGTATGATATTGTATAGTGAGAAACAGTGTAGTTTTATGTTCAGTAGTGTCAGGGAAACTTTGCCCTTTATTTTGCATTGTATTGTCTAGCTGTGTTTTCATCTAATAAAAATATTGGTTCCTATCCCCATAGAAGTTTCTCTTAAACTCGTATGAGAATTTCTATCTTCCCTTGGTAAACTGTTAATTCAGATTCCCACTGTATTGTGCAAAGCTGTCTCTGAGATGTGTTTGCCTAGTGGAGCAACTAGGCAACATTATATTCTGAATCTGTTGTTACAAACTTTGCTTCTGAGGTTTCTTACCAGAAAGGTGTTGAATATTATGGAACTTCGAGCTTTTATAGGAGATATAGGAAAGCACTGGGGTAGGCTAGTGTACTGGCTCTAGTTCATTGGCAGTTTGGGCTGAAGTAGCTCCCAGCTGATTGTGTTCCTCTGTCCTCCCTGCTGCTGTGCTAACATACCTGTTTGTGCAGCTGCTTGGTGATCCAGACTGTGGAAACTGATCCAAATGAAACACAGCCCAACAAAGGAAAAAACCTAGATATTTATTTTTCTGTTGAATTAATTTCTGTAACCCATTCATCTGGGGTGCATGCAGTCATGCTGACTGATGCAATGCAGAGGGTGATGACATGGATGGAAAAGAGCATGAAGGGGCTGCATAAGCAGCTCTAAGTGGGTATGAAACCTTAGTCACAGATGAATGTGAGGCCCTCCCAATTTCAATGGCAATTCTTCTTTCCTGCCTAAAAGTCTTTCTGTGACTTCAGATGATAATAACAATTCAAGAATTACAGCAGTCAGTGGAAATAAATATCTGTTTTCTCTGAACTAGCAATGATTTGCATGCCAAAAAAAAAAGGCTGTGGTTAAATACTGGAAAGTAGCAAACCAAGAATTTTGAGGGAAGATATTTTAGAAATGATCTCATAGAAGGAATTGTACTTCATACATAACATTGCTACATGGACCGGAACAGATGAGTGTAAAGTAGAGGTCATTGTTGAAAGGCTGAGTGTACAAATTGCAGTTTTTGGCATTGCCAAATGAGTATCATCAAATGATTACTTTGACCATCTGTATTTTACAGTATACTCATGAAATAGGCCTTGTATTTTACACAAATGCACTGTCCAACTGTCTTCATCCTCATAATTTTAGAATGATTATAGACATGTATAGATTGTTACTATTAATATGATAGCAGGCATGTTTCTGAGGCTGAGCTACTGTAACACTGTTTCACAGTGAATATCAACACATTACAGTTCGATCAGTCATACAAACTAGATTGTGGCAATGCAAGTGCTAGTCTGTCTGTGCAACTTCATGATCAGAGGCAGTTGAAAAAAAGTCCTGTGGCTCTTGCCCAGCTTTCAACATTTGTTTGTTCTTAGCGGAACCCTTGTTTTGACCAAAAATTTTTTTTGTTTGGGGGATTTTTTTTTTTTCAAATGGAATAATTTAATTTTAGTATAGACTACTTCTGTGTAAAAGAGAAATACATTGATTAGAATCAAACATGTCTCCAGGAAAGGCATCTAAGATGGGAGGCTGAACTCTTACAGTTACTGTCAGTATTCGAGAGAGAATGTATGAAACTGTTCAAATAACTGATGTGTTCACTTGGTAGCAGCAATCTGCATGTTTGTGAATTACCTGCAAAGGTATTCTGTGTAAATAGTTCATTATTGTATATTTCATTTACAATATTGGTAATTGTCTTTCAGGAAATGGAGGATAAGGTGATCAGCCCAGAAAAAGTTGAAGAAGCAAAATTGAAAGCAAGGTATCCTCATCTGGGCCAGAAGCCAGGAGGCTCAGACTTCTTGAGGAAGAGGCTTCAAAAAGGAGTGAGTTCTTTGTTGTCTGCAGGGTATTTACAAGAAATTCCATACAAAATGCCTGTGTCTGTGATTATTCCCCCCCACCCCACCTCTTTTAAACTTTGTCTGTGAGAGCACAAGGAACGGAAATTTGTTTCCACAAGACAAATGCCAAACTGGCAGGATAATGTTCTTACAGCATCAATGGCTCAACTGCACTTTTTAGAAAAAATGAAACCTAGAAGCTGTTTCACTGCTGCTGTGATAGACTCCATAAAAAATTATAGTAAACACTAAGGGTCAGAACCTCATTTCTGTTTTGTACTGATCTTACCTTGTCGATTCTTATGTCCCCAAAATGTATGTCCACTCTTATCCATGATTTTAGCACGTGAAAGCTTAGTGTCTGCTATGTTACGCCAGGCACCATCTGACATTGGTGGTTTGAGAGTGGCAGTGTAATTCTGAATATACACCCTGACCAAAAAATAATGATAGAATAACGAAGGGTGCATTAGTATTTCAGTATTGTTCAACATATTGCATTAGTATTTCAGTATTGTTCAACATTTAACCGGTGTCTCTTATTTTCTTAGTTATTCAGCTGATTATTTTTTTTAGTTTAATTATTCATACAGTGATTATGTAATGCCTTTCAGGCATGTTAGAACTCTGTTCCCAGAATAATCCCAGTATATCTTTTTCTTCATCAACGACCTGGATGAAGAGTTAGAATGTACCCTCAGCAAGTTTGCTGACGACACCAAACTGGGAGGTGTGGTAGATACACCGGAAGGCTGTGCTGCCATTCAGCGTGACCTGGATAGGCTGGA